TATGTAGATTTGTCTATTTTGAGTAATTACAACATAAGAGTTTATAGTAATGACATGACCCAGTTTATTTAGCCATTCCCCTATTGCTGGGCACTTAATGAGCTCCAAGTTTTCCTTACTATAAACAAGTAATAAACATTCACAAGCCTAACTTGTACACATGAACAAGGTTTCTCTAGGGGAAACAGTAAGAAGTAAACATTAGATCACAGGACATATTCATTTAAAATTTTAATAGATGTGCTACCATACTCTCCAAAGACACTGTAACAATTTATATCTCCTCCAACAGTCACAAGAGAGTCCATGACCCCCAATCTCACCACTGAAGTGTCTGCCTGGATTTCCTTCAAAAGTGTACAAATTTTTATGTTTGCCAAACAAACCACACAAAAAAAGTATGATGCCATTATTTTAACCTGCTTTTCCCTATCCACTGGCATGGCTGAGCATCATTCTATGCTCACTTGCCATCAGCAGCTCCTGTCCAGAGAACTGTGTCTATACCCTTGATTCAGACTACTTCATCATGGGGTCAATGCTCCAATCTCTCAGTCTTTCACATACCTTCTCCTGAATCTGGCCCCCAATGCTCCGCAGGGCTTCCTGGAAGACTTTGTTCTTGGGTTCTAGGCTCACACATCTCTGCAGGTCAAGGACAGCTTGGTCCAGGCGGCCCAGTTTCTCTAGGGCTTGGCTCCTCCGGTAAAGTGCTTTGACATCCCCACCGTCCTTTTCAATGGCTGAGCACAAACAGGAGCTCTGTCAGCACCCATGAGGCCACCGTCTCCAGGCAAGAGCAGGAGGGAAATATCTCCAGGGCCAGAGGAAGGTGGGGGGATGCGTGGGTACTTCAGCCTCAGAAAAGGTGAGGGTAGCTGTGGAAAAGGAAATGCCCAAGGGAGTGGGAAAGAAAGAAGGCAGATGTGTTTCAGGGTCCAAAGGAGAAGAAAGTAGATAGATAGTGCAGTGCTCCCAGAGTCCTTGCCCACCAAAGAAGCCCCACAGCTCCACGTGAGGGCCCATATTCCCTTACCTTTAGATGCCTCCGTTTCTGCTTTATCATAATCTTCCTGTAGAAAAAAAGATCAGAAGCCTGAGAGGATGGTCATCTCCCTTTCCAGGCACTAACAGGACAGAAGAGATACACTTGTTTTCCAGAGTCACCGGATCCCCCAACACCCTGAGGCCCGAAGACTTCTGGCAATCATGGCTGGGGAAATCGAATGCCCAGATCAAGCCCAAGCAGCAGCAAAGATGGGCCAAAGAGGGCCCCATGCAGGCCAGGGAAAGAGCGGCAAGCTTCCCTCACCAGCTTGAGGTGACAAGCAGCCAGATTCCGATGCAGAATGGCCTGGTCCTGGGGCGTCGCGCCCAGACCTAGGGCCTGGGTATAGGCCGATAAGGCGCCCTCGTAGTCTCCGCATTTGAACAGCTCGTTGCCCTCTTTGCGCAGCTGCTCCACTGAGCTGGCCTGTGGAGAATGGGATGGAAACGTCGGGGAGGCAGCTCAGGGAAGAACAAGGGAGCTAGGAGAGGGGAGCAAGGGTCGGGAGCGGGTCCAATCGAGGGCTAAGAATGGGAAAGGAGGCCAGAGGATGGCCAGAGTAACTGTGAAGGAGAGATGACAAGGAAGGATGACTACGCACCCCGGGGACGACGGGTCGGGGCTCAGGGGTCCCTGGACCACTCACAGTCATCACGGAGCCGAAGTCCCGGGCCCGCGCAGGCGCAGTCTCTGGGGCGGAGGTGGCCCTGGGCTTTGGAAGCTGCCAGTGGCTGACGCGCCCCAGCTCTGAGTCAGAGGCGGCGTCAGAGAGGGGCGGGCCAAGGAGAGCGCGACCGGGCAGGGGCGGGGCGCTGGGGGGAGGTTCCCCCCCCCCTAGCCCGCGCACCTAGTTTGTGAGCTCCGGGACCTGCAGGGGGCGCGCAGCGGAGGAGCCAGTGGGGGACCTGCGGCGGCTACAGCTCCGGCCAGCGCCCCGGCCCCGACCGCTGCAGAAGTGCAGGAGGTCTGCGGTCATCAGGGCCACGAGCAGTAGGCTGTAGAGGCCCAGGGCTAGGAAAGCACCCGGGCCCCTGTGGGAGAAGGGAGACTATCAGGATAGTGGCAACCATGTGTTACAGACCCCTGCGAGTCCGGAGAAAGCGCAGACGCCTCTCCCTGAATAAATTTGCACACACACATATTTTGCAAAATAACATTTTGGAGTTCACAGATACCCTAAAGCCACCCATGGGCAGATTCAGAATTAAAACCTTCTACTACAATGTGTGTAACACACGGATTAGAGCACACATCCTTTCCGCTTACACATTGCCCCCAGCCCCCTCCACTTCACAGCACAAGCTAATGGCTTCCGGTTGCCCGCTTTCACCACCCCCTAAACATTTCCTTCACAGTTGTTTGTAATTATGATTTACGTGATTTTCGGTTTGCCATCTGGCCCTCTACTGGTCTGCAAGTCACAAGTCTCCCACCCCAGAATTTAAGGAACAAACTCCCAGACACTGGAACACCCTGTTCCAAAGGCTCTGGGGCTGGAGTTCTCACCTAAGGATGGGTGGCGGAGGAAGAGCAGACAGGTTGACTTGGTATAGGGCCTCAAATTCATCCCGGGTACAGCAGTAGCCCCCTGCAGCCTGCAGGTGACAGCAGTAGGCTTCCTCGGGTGTATCAGAGAGCCGGGGACAGAAGAAACCAGGGTAGTGGCGGCCATCAGCATCCTGGGTGGTCTGGCACAAGTTGGGATGGTAAGCCAGTGCTGAAGAGACAGACAAGGGGTCTGGAGACAAGAAGGAGGAGTCTGTCCAAACCCCATTCCACAATTCCCAGAAAGTAAAAGGGATCATCCTCTACCAAAACAGAAGGTCCCTTCTTCCCCTCCTCACCAACTCCCCAAATAGCTCATACCACCTGCAGGGGATGAAAGAGTGCTGTACCTGAGAGAGATGTGGGTTGGGCAAAGGTCATCCAACTGAAGAGCAGTAGCAGCCCCACTGACAGGCCTGTCATCAAGGGGCCTGGCCTCCTTTTTTGGAAGCCCATGAGAAGTCACCTCCACCTCAGCCTTGATTCTAGGAACCCCATCATCTTTCTATCTAAGCCATGACTGCAGAAAACAAGGAATTAAAAATCAAAGGGATGGAGATGTAGCTCAGAGGTAGAGTGCTTGCCTAGCATAAACAAGGCCCTGGGTTCAATCCTCAGTACCATAAAAATTTTAAAAAGGCATTGGCTTGGGACCATAAGTGGACACATGCCTATAATCCCAGTTACTTGGGAGGTTGAGGCAAGGAGGATAGGAAATTCAAGGTCAACTTGGGCAACTTAGCAAGACCCTATCTCAAAATTTAAAACCAACAGAAAGAAAGGCCTGGGGATATAGCTCAGTGATAGAGCACTTGTCTAGCATGAGTGAGTCCCTGAGTTCAATCCCTAGTACTGAAAAAATAAATACATACATACATACATACAAAAGCACCAACACCCTTAGGCACCATTAACACAAACCTGAAGCTCTTCTACTACAGGCTTCTAGAGAGATGAAAGCCACTCAGTTTTTATCTCCTGCTGGAAAAAGGCCTGTACTTTTAAACTACCTAAGGTTTTCTGAGCAAAAGGGGAAAAGGCTCAGAGGAATAGAGGAGGGACTAAAGGATGAGACCAAAGATAAGCCATTGGCCTGAAAAATAGACAAGTATTTAGAGACAAATATATCGCTATCTACCTACTCTTCAACTTCGAGGCTGCAGTGGAAGCCCTGGGAATTCAGACGGTTCCATTTCAGGACCTCTGTTTTCAGCTTAAGGAGCTTCCCTCCCTAACCACCGCAACGTGGCAACCACCAAATCTAGCTGAAAACCAAGGGTGAGTCTCTTCATTAACTTTCCTCCTGAGCCTCATCTCCCCCAGTTACCAGCCAAAACACAAAAAATACCTGTTTGATTGGAGTATACTTAGCAACGGGCCAATTCCAACTCACAGGAAAGCCAGCTGGGGCATCTCCAGGTCTCTATGACCCCTCATACCTCATAGCTGCCAGGTAATTCCCTAAGACAGGGAATTTCTCCAGAAGACCCAAGCCACCAGCCAGCAGAGTTAATTAAGTGTTATCACAACATCATGCTCCAAAAACATCAGGGACAAGACTCAGCACCCCAAGGGCTCACAGCAGTTACCTAGAGACCAAAGCAGGGGCCCGATGGAACAAGAAAGCAACTCAAATTTTACCTGAGCACTGAAAAAAAAAAAAAAAACAAAAAAAAAACAGTCCTGTGGAAACACCACTGCTGACTGGAAGTCTAAATTTGAAACATTTAGGCAGGGCTCCCAGTTTAGGATCCAATTTTCCAGAAGGTCAGGCCCTAGGGTCTCTTAGGCCCAAAGGTGGAGCTGGTTGCCCATAGTAACAGGACCCACATCCTCAGGGAAAACTTTATGGAGCCCTTTGAAAATGTTTCAGAGCACTTACAGGTTAAAGATTGCCTTTAACTCTTGGTAGAACCTGTCTCTGACTCTGAGACTAGTTGAATTGTTCCTTCTCTATGGACCCTGTATAGTCTCCTATGCCTTAGAGTACTGGACTCAGCACACTGTGAGGCCACTGCCTTATTTCCAGTTTGCCCTCCCACCTCTCTCCACAGATTATGGGCTCCCAAAGAGCCAGACTATGTTTTTCTTTATTTTCTTTCTTTATTTTTATGTGCCGCTGAGGATGGAACCCAGTGCCTCACACGTGCTAGGGAAGCGCTCTACCACTGAGTTACAAACCAGCCCAAGACTGTTGTCCTTCTTGAACCCTCACTGAAGCACCCTGAATAAGGACTGTGATGCTGAATGAAGCTCTCCATACCAGTCTTTCTCTGTGCCATAATTTCGGTTCCAAGAGGAACCAGTCTGTGGCAGCTTATTAGAATCAGAGCCTCTCCAATCCCTGGGCCTCCGAGGCGCAAGGAGGCGCTGTAAACGCTCCAATCCAACTCCCACAGTCCCCAGCGCCATCCGCGCGATGGGCTCTGAAGCAGCGCAGCTGCTGGAGGCTGCAGACTTCGCGGCTCGGAAGCATAAACAGCAGCGTCGGAAGGATCCAGAAGGGACCCCCTACATCAACCACCCCATCGGTGGGCGCGTCGATCAGGGAGCACCCCTAGCGGCGCCTGGGGGTGGGGGTGGGTACTGTGAAGGGCGTGCACCTCATTGAGCACCTACTTTGTCCCAAGCTTTGTGTCAGACACTGTTTGTGCGGTATGATTTAAGCCTCACAACAACCCGGGGCAGCAGGCATGATTATTCCCTTGGTTCGGTGAACACCCCAAGAGAATAAGGGACTCGCTCAAGGTCACTCAGCTAGTGAAGGGCTACATCTGCCTCTCCAAAATCCAAAACAGTGAGGCTGTCTCCGATCCTAATTCCTGCTTTGCCCTGCCAGGTGTGGCTCGTATCCTGACCCATGAGGCGGGAATCACTGACATTGTGGTCTTACAGGTAACTTTACCCCCTCTCTGCCAGGAGGTCAGGGTGGGGATCAGAGGTCCCTTTCAGCAATGGGCACCCCTTGGTTGACATCACAGGACTGAAAGGGAGCCTGTCCCCAGGCGGCCCTGCTTCATGACACAGTGGAAGACACAGACACCACCCTGGATGAGGTGGAGATGCACTTTGGGGCACAGGTGCGGCGCTTGGTGGAGGAGGTAACAGATGACAAGACTCTGCCCAAGCTGGAGAGAAAGCGGCAACAGGTGGAGCAGGCACCTCACAGCAGCCCAGGGGCCAAACTGGTGAAACTGGCAGACAAGCTGTACAATCTGAGGGACCTGAATCGCTGCACCCCTGAGGGTATGTTTCCCCACTGGTTCTGAGGGAATATGAAGAGATGTCCCCCTTTAAAAATCACAAGTTAGTCATATCAGTGGGGGGGGGGGGGAGGTCTAGGCATTCTCAATTCCCCAAACTAATCCTACTAGAATAGTCTTCTTTCATAAGGTGAAAATGCAATAGCTGGGCCAAGAGGAAGTTTTCAAGACAAATCATTCCGTCAGGAATTCATCTCATGGCCCTGTACCAAGCCCTCCAATCAGTAGGCAAAAGGCAATGTTGTCCTTGGCACCACACTAGCAGGTTTTCTGTCCACTCTTATGCAGGATGGTCAGAACATCGCGTCCAGGAATACTTCGAATGGGCAGCACAGGTGGTGAAGGGGCTTCAGGGAACAAACCAACAACTGGAAGAGGCTCTAAAACAGCTGTTCAAGGAGCGTGGGCTGACACTCTGAGCAGTGCTGGCAGCCATGGGTGGTACTGACTCCAGCCCTCCCATGCCAGACCGGATTCATACTTAAGTTTTTCAGTGCCTCCTGATCTCCCTCCATGCTTCACTCAGCCCAGATATTGAAGGTTAAAAATACTTGCTTTTTCTTACTCTGAAGGTTTCCCACCAACTAAACTGAGCCTGGAATGTGGGAAGCAGATGTACTCCCTCCATTTCTAACCCAGTCACTGCCTTCTCCTAAGTCCTGGGTCTGTTTACTATTTTGCATGGTGGGATCTCTAGCCCCTTAGAGACCTGTGCTTGTATAAACACTGGTTTAGATGTCATCATGGAAAATAAAGAAAGTCGGGTAAAGTTTTAAGTTGCTCTCCTCCTTCCCCAGCCTCCGCAGTAGACACCGATATGTTGTAGGCTTGTCCTCCACAATGCAGGTTTTCCAGAAATGTGTCCCCGGTGTCAGCTCCTTCAGATTGAGGGCTTCAACCCCTGGAGCCTGGCTTCCTTCTCACAGCTGGGCTGTGTCATTATCAGGGTCAGATTACGAGAAAGGGTCTTCATTAAAATAACTAGAAAGTAATACCAGCGCTTACTGGAAATCCTGCCTGGGCACTGATAGGCCGAAGACCCAACAGGAGAAGGCCAGTGGGGGAACTTCTATTCTCCACCCTAGACCGCCAGCTGATGGGCAGTCCACCTATGAATCGCTCTAAGAAATCGGGTGTTCCCGCGGTTGATAAGCAACAGGAACTTCCGGACGCCCCGGAAGTGGCCTTGGGGAGGCAGTTCCGGTGAGCGAATCTGTTGTTGGTTGGCTGATCAGTGCTAAGCAGCTGGGGTGTTTTTTAGATGGCTTGGAAAACAGTCAAACTTGGGACTGTTTCACCTAGGACCACGGTGGTTATTTATCCAAATGAAGGTACCAGTCAGTATAGGGTTCCTCGAAAAAAGTAGATGAAGGGCAACAAAAAAGCTTGAAATAAAACTCCCAGGTTTTGATTGACGTTCAGCGTGATCCTCTTAAAGCAGACCAGGGTATGGTACATTTTGGTTTTAATTTAAAAATCAGTTTTGCGTCGGGCACAGTGGCCCACCCCTGTAATCCCAGCGACTCCTTAGGCTGTGAAGCAGGAAGATCTCAAAATTCAAGGCCGGTCTGGGCAACTAAGCGATACCCTGGCTGGGGGTGTAGTTCAGTGGCTCAGTCCCCAATACCCCCCCCAAAAAAAAAAAAATTTGCGGAAGCGCAATTGCAAGATTTTTTTTTAACTTCCTTACACTTAAAATATTAACATAAGTTTGCACGCAGTTCACAATAACCAAATTAGGGAATCAGCCCACATGCCTATCACAGGTGGATAAAGAAAAGGTGAAATATATACATAATGGAGTTTTACTCAGCTATAAAGAATGAGATTGTGACATTTGCTGATATGTGGATGGAACTGGAGAAAATGCTAAGTGGAATAAATCAGTCAAGGTCTAATGTTTTCTCATATGCAGAAGCTAGAGTAAATAAACAGGAAAATGGAGAGGGGAGGCACCATGAAAATGGGAGATGAGTGGGGAGGAACAGTGGAATGAGGTTGACCAGATTGTGCTGTGTGACTGTGCCGCAGTGAAGTCTATCTTTATGTGTAAAGTGTCAATTTATAAAAACAATAAATAGATGGGGTGAAATGGAGTAAAGAAGGGAAATGTACTAGGGACTGAAATGGGTCAACTTCTATTCCACACATGTGATTATGTCAAAATGAACCTATTATGTGTAGCTCTAATACTCCAATAAAACCATAAGCCTGCAGTTTTTAAGTGATTTGAAGTTAAAATTTTTAAAGTTTTAGGACGTTTAATAAACTGATTCCCTCTGTACCTTTAGAATGCCAAGATGAAGACTGTCACAAGGTAACTTTTTTTTTTTTTTTTTTTTTTTTTGTATCAGGGATTGAACTCTGGGGCACTCAACCACTGAGCCATATCCCCAGCCCTATTTTGTATTTTATTTAGAGACAGGGTCTCACCGAGTTGCTAAGCACCTCGCCAGTGCTGAGGCTGGCTTTGAACTGGCTTTGAACTAGTGATCCCCCAGTCTCAGTCTCCCAAGACACTGGGTTTACAGGTGAGCTCTACCAGGCCGGGCACAAGGTAACATTTTTAAAAGTTACTTCATATGTTTTTATAGACATCAGAAAAAAAAAATTTTTTTAAAGAGGTGTCTGGCTGTGTTACCCAGGCTGGCCTTGAACTCATGGGCTCAAGATCCTCCCATCTCAGTCTCCAGAGTAGCTGGGATTATAGGCATTCACCACTGCACCAGGCAAAAAGGTTTTCTTTTGTTTGGGGTTTTCTTTTGGTGCAGTGGATCAAACCCAGGGACTCCTGCATGCTAAGCACACACTTTATCACTGAGCTACACCCCCAGCTCTTAAAAGAATTTTAAATTACGGTAAAAATGTAAGAAAAATTACCATCTTAGCCATTTTTAAGTGCACAGTAGGTGGAATTAAGTAGATTCACATTGTGCCAGGATGGTGATGCACATCTGTATTCCAAGTGCCTTAGGAGGCCAAGACAGGAGGATCTCAAGTTTGAAGCCAGTCTCTGTGCAACTTAGCAAGACCCTGTCTCAAAAAAAAGGGCTAGGGATGTAGCTCAGTGGTAGAGCACCCATGAGTTTAATCCCCAGTACCAGACACAAAAAGGAAAAAAATATGTATATTCACATTGTTGTATAACCATCACTACCATCCAGCTTCAGAATTTTTTTCATCTTAAGTTTATTTTTGTGTGTGTGTTCTATAAATGATTGGAGCTTTACCACTAAAGTACATCTGCACCCCCAGGTTTTTTTTTTTGGTATGGGTAGGGCATGAGGCCTTTTACAAGATCCTTTATCTTATTCACCAGGAAGAAGCCCTTAAGACCTAATAATTTCCCAAGGCCCCACCTCTTCATATTGTTGCACTGGAGATTGTTTCAACATGAATTTTGGAGGGACACACATTAAAATCATAGCACTACATTCTTACAAGGAAATCTTTCTTCTGGGGGACCTTCTCAAGTCCTCTACCCTGTTGTCAAATCTTCAATCCTTGTTACATTCTAGATAACTAGGAATCCTCACCCCCAGCTGTGGCGTCCAGTGCTAAGGCTACTTTAATTATATGGAGTTCATGTTTAGTTCAGGTTTATTCTCTACTTGGGAGGTCCAAAGTCATTAGCCAGTCTGGATGAACACTTTATATTGCCCTATTGGTCCTGGCAATTATGATCTGGATTTTTTTCCCACTGACCTAAGTTGAGTTATGCTTCAAGGGATCTGTCATCTCTTACTGAAACTTGCCCCCTGAATGTCCTTTGCACACATTTTTGTTAGGGAAGAACAAAGTTTTATGTTTTTGGTACCAGGAATTGAAACCAAGGATGTTTACCCACTAAGCCTCATCCCCAGCCCTTTTTATGTTTTGATACAGGGTCTCCCTAAGTTGCTGAAGCTGGCTTTGAACTTGCAATCCTTCTGCCTCAGCCTCCTGAGTCACTGGGATCACAGGCATGCACCATCCTTCCCAGCAAGAACAAAGATTTTGTTGGGAGATCTTTATCTTGGAGGATCTCATTCCTACTACTCTAGAGTGCTATTTCCTTTTGCTGACCACAATCACATCAGGCAGGTCAAGTTCTGGCTAAAGATGTTATCTGCACAGGTGTTCAAGGTTACAATCATGCCCTACGCAAGCCACATCTGAACACTGGGCCTGGTTCTTTCTGCATGGAAAGACCCAGCTCTTTGCCTGTGCCTGCCTTTCTTTCCATGCTTCCAACTAGACATACAACTCTTTCCTCTTCAAAAGAAATGTGTGGTTCTAAGTAGATGAAGGTTGCAGAAAGCAATCAAATCTTACTTCTGGGTGAAGTTACTTCTGGTTCTAGGTTTGATTAAAACCATAAGCCTCAGTGCTGGAGCTCCATGATTAAGGGTTGTTGCTTGCTTTAAAACAGTAGGCCCAGGGCTGGGGTTGTGGTAGTGGTAGAGCGCTCACCTACCATGTGTGAGGCACTGGGTTCAATCCTCAGCACCACATAAAAATGAAACATATTGTATCCCACTTACAACTAAAAAATTTAAAAACAGTAGGCCCATTTACAAATCTTGTGCTCACAAGAATCAACTGGATGCTTATTCAAAATGCAAATTCTAGCCTGGTACAATGGTGTATGCCTACAATCCCACTGGCTCAGCACCTCACCGAGGCCTGGTTGGGCAATTTAGTGAGACCTCAACTCAAAAATAAAAAGGTTTGGCATGTAGCTCAGTGGCATAGCACCCCTGGGTTTTTAATCCCCAGTACCCCTCTATCAACAATAACATTCTTTGGTGTGGTCTCTTGCTCCCAGACAGGTTCAAAGGTTGTACCCTATGCACTAAAACAGGCTTTTGTTTCTTGCTACTATTGCAGCATCAGACTTAGGACAGCTGTGGCTCTGCTCCAGACATCATTGCAACACCCAGACCAAAGGAGAAGCCTTATTTAGGATAAGACAGAAACCCATACTTCCAACTAGGAACTCTGATGATCCCTGAACCATTTTTTTTTTTTTTTTTTTTTTGACATTGAACCCAGGAGAGCTTTACCACTGAGCTAGGTCCCTGGCCCTTTTTGTTTAGAGACAAATTCCTGGGGCTGGCCTTGAACTTGGAATTCTCCTGCCTCAGACTCCACTGCTGGAATTACAGGCATGTGTCACCATGCCAGGCTCTGGACCATATCTTGAACAATGCTGCCTTATTATTTTAAAAGGCTAGTGTATAGGATTTAAACATAATTCCTGTCAAGACAAATAATTTCACTGCACATCTAAGACCTCCAAAGATAATATCCTTTATTCTGCTAATTTCCTAGGGGTTCACAGATTCTCTCCTATCATTTCATTACAAATCATATACTAGCAAATAACACTTGCTGTAATTGCTTAGCAACCTTTACCAATATGGTTATAACTCCTACTCGTGGAGCTCTTCTGTGTACGAGGCACTATGCTAAGCACTTCACATTTGTTACCTTAGTTCTTCCATCAGGTTATGGACAGGATTCCATGAGCTATGGCCTGACGTTGGCACAAAGACTCTGGCAAACCCACAAAAACTTGGCCTTGTCACTCTTTGAGATTTCAGATGGCTCCTGGCAGGCCCCCAGTGACTTTGAGGACCCTAAAGCAAATTTTCTAATCATACTGATTTTTACTACACCACAAATATTTTCTCCCACATCTGACATTTATGTTTCAACCTTGATGTTTCTCATAGCACAGAAACTCAATTTTGTGTGTCTGGTAAGATGTTTTCTTTTTGGTTTCGTGTTTTCAAAAGACCTTCCCACATCAGTTATAAAAATATATTTTCTTATTTTGTTTTTTTCCCCTCTCAAACTAATTTTTGTGGAAACTGAGGTAGAGATCTTACTCTAATAAGTCATCTCAAAGTATTATTTATTAAATAATCCATCTTTTGCCCCATTTAAAATACTCCCATTTAAAAAAAAAATTTACCATATACTAAATCCCTATGTACCCAGGACTGTTTCTGGATTCTCCATACTGTCCCATCTGTCTGACCCAGTCTGTCATACTAATTAAATTCATGCTAGCCAGAGTCCTTTGGGAAATCTGGTAGGGCAAGTGCCTTTTACCCACCTCAGCACCACCACTGGACTCATCGCCATTCGGAGATACCTTGATATTCTCACGCCTTTACTCTTCCAAATGAACTTCAGAAGCTACTGAATTTCAAAAAGTATCCAATCTCATTGGAATTACATTGAAGTGAGCCGATTTAGGGAAAACCAAAATCTTTACAGGAACATGTTTAGCACTGGCTCAATTTACAGAATGCTCTTCCTACGTCTTCAGCCAATTCTGCTGGATTTCATAGGCAGGCTGCTTTAGGGTCTATAGATGATGGCAATTATAACCCTTCCTTACCTCCTTCACCTGACTTGTTGCAAGGGTAAGTAATGCCAGACACTGCTAAACCACAGCACCCCTGGCTAGTTTCTTACCCTCAATGGGAATGCTTATGGTGTCTGACTCTTCAGAGTCCCATTAACTGTTTCTGATATGGACCTTTTTCTAGATTAGGAAGTTTCTTTCTTAGAATTTTAAGAAGGGGTGGATTTTATTTTTGTGGTGCTGGGGATCAAACCCAGAGCCTCATGCTTGCTAGGCAAACACTCTACTCTCGAAGCCACATCCCCAGCCCTAGGGGTGGATTTTAAATTTTATCAAATATCTTTTCAGCATCTATAGAGACTATTATAAATTTTTCTCTATTATTTGAAGCTGAAATGAAGACTTATGAGCAGTCCTACCGCTTCCTAATTTAGTCTACATATCCCTCATCCCCCATGCCAAGAATTGAATACTGTAAAAGGATGGGCCAAAGGTGAGGCTTCAAGGCCTGCTAGGCATGGCACCGAAAGTCGTCTCAAGCTGCCCAAGCATGGAGGGTCTTGGAGGTTTCACTTTCTTTCCAGGACCAAACCCCTCATGATAGAAAGTTCTTGGGGGCAGTAGTGCAGAGAGTAAAGGGAACAAACCAGAGTCAGGTAGGGTGGAGAAGCCCCACTAAGCCCCAGCCACCAATCCCATTAATCAACACACAAACTGCCCAATTTGAGATGGGGGTTTTGGTATCTGAAATGTTCTATGCCCTCTGGCCATAAGTCTCTAGTGAGTCCTTCCTGCCATCCTGCAGCCCCCACCAGGATGTGCAGGCCCAGTGGTATTTAGGGTAGAGCCATCACAGAAAGCAGAAAAGCCTTCAGGCCCTTAGGAGAAACTGGGATTCCTTCTACTCCTCCACCCCACCGCTAACTGTGGGTCCCCATCCTCCTCTTCCCACTGATCCTGCTCCTTATACCAGGATACATAGTCTCTTCTTCACCACAGGATTCCCCTATAGTAAGCTCTCATCTGTAGTCACCCGACACTGGGCCTTACCCACTTAGCTTCCAAGACCTCCTGTCTGTCCCCACTCCTCCCACATCCCACTTTGGGAAAAGGATGGGTACTTGAGCTTGTGCCCAAGTATGTGGCCACTCAACCCAGAGCAGAGTCTGGTACCATCAACCCCGACCAATGGCTTCCTCTCCCTCATCTCACCAGCATCTGCCCTACCTGCCCACCACTGGGCATTGCCCTAAATACAGAAGCAACAATAAACAAGATGAGGGGAGAGCCCAGTCTGTCAGGTTTTAGAGGCAGATTAGATGGGATACCCAGTGTGGCTTGTCCAACCCATTCTCAGTGTTAAGAGGCAGTCTGTGGATGAGCTTTTTCTTCAGGCCACAAGAAGCCTTAACCCAAGCGGAGGCGAAAGGTGGCGATCTCCATGGGTTCCAGATAGATGTCAGTGCTGTTGGAGGGTGAGGCTAGAGGGTACAATAGTGTCAAGGAGGTTGGCTGTAGGAATCCCACATCCAGGCCATGGAAAAGGCTACCTAGGGCTACCTGTGGAGAGAGAAGACACCGGGCTGTGCTAGATACTCCTACACTAAACAGAAACACTTGTCATCTACATCACTAGTGTTACCTCTTTAGCAATCTGACAGAGTAACTCAATATTAGAGTACTTGCCCACCATAAGCAAAACCCTAGTTTCAGCACTTCAAAAAAAAAAAAAAAAAAAAAGCAACAAGGCTTCATACATATATACATTGGTATCCAACCTCCAGGGCTCACTGAGATTTGCTCAACCCTAAAGCCCGTCTGTGGATCTCAGGGTGGGAACCATTTCACTGAGATGCAACCACTTTGAGGACAGTGACTGCATCTCCTAAATCACCAGTGACCTGTAAAGAGTCTGGCATATGAGGGCATTTAATGCCAACTGAAACCACAAATACAGCTCACAAAGGACCAGCATCATGGATTTAGTTTTACATGCCTGGTGTTACGTCCCCATTCCTCAGGGAACAGAAGTTCTCTAGCTCCATGCCACGTCTGGAGCTGCCCCTACCAAGGCCTCAGTTACTGAAAATGTGTCAATGGCTTCCTCCTTTCTCTATGGAAAGCCTTGAAATGAGTGACACTTTCTTCTTTCATCCTGCTGTCCAACCCCAGTCTTCTCCCCATAAGCTCTTGCTCTTATATTCCCAGTACCTCAGCTTCCCTGCCTCCCCACATCAGGTGTTTCACCTTCCATCCCTGGGGCCCACTCACCTTGCCCTGGCTTGTGGTACAGTTGAAGCCCAAGTTCTTGGCCTCAAGACTGCAGTCAAAACCCTTGCGGTGTAAGATAAATGCAGTGTCTGCTGAGGGCAAGTTATCTTCCTGGACAACAGGAGGAAAGACGATGACTGGCAGGGCTCTGCAGAATTCAGAAAGGCAGCAGAACCCTGCCCAAAAGTCAAGTGCTGGGAACAGGGAGTGAGGGGGACCAGAATTTGGTCCTGGAGGTTCTGAGCCCAGAGGGACACTCACCTCGCCTGGAAGCGTACGTAGGTTGAGCAAGTGGAAGTCACAGGGCAGTGCGGAAGCCAGAGGATGAAATGAGTGCAGACTGGAGCCTGGGAGCTGCCTCTTGGCTACGGGCAGGGCAAGCACAGGGGTATTCAGGTACATGGAGGTCATGTGGCTGAGGAGGGATGGGTAGCTGGTAGAGCGGCCTTCTTGGACCTGCAAGATGGACCGGAGATGTGAATGAGGGAGCAAAGCCAGGTTAGTGGGTAAAGGTGAGGCAGAGTAACAGTACACCAGGCCAGTTCCTATGGCAGGAGCTTTCCTGGTGTTGTCTGGATGCAGGCACTGCCTGGCTCCAGATCCTGTACCTTTAACTCTTCATTGTAACTACTTTCCATAATACCCAACTCAGAGGGCTATTTCACAAGGCCATTTCTTCCCTATGTTTTATTATTATTTTATTATTACTCCAAAATATATCACGAGCAACATTCATCAGTGACACCTCCCATCAGAGATCCTCAGTGCAGGTGGGGAATGAAGACACACACTTCACCATGGAGGATGGGCCTTGGATGGACAAAGTGTTCTGAACCATCCTGTAGTCTCCAATAACACACCATACCCACTGTGCCAGCTTGATGCCCAGGACAATGGTCTCCATGGCTCTGCCAACTGAAGACTACTCCTTAAGACAGCTCCCTGACATGTCACACTCATGGATCTATGTGGAACTTTCCCTCAAAGCTGCTGCTTTTCTGTGTTCTGATTTCTGTCCCTATTACTACTCTCCTAGTTGCCCAGAATCTCACTTCCCTCTACTATGATCTCCAGGGACAGGTGGTTACCAAACCCTCCTCCATTCCACCTCTGCAGTATACCGTTATCTACCCCAACTCCTTTCTCCCACCCATGGCCTGGTTCAAGTTCAACTCACCAACACTTCCTATTTGAACAACCTTCAAATCCTTACTCATGCCTATCTTCCTACACACAAAGCCACTGGCTCCCTACTGTTGGAATAATGAGTAGAGTTCATGTGTCCCTCCCTGCTCAGGTCTTTCCCTGGTGTCCAGATTCTTTGGCCAGACATTCATGGCCTCTGCAGTCTGCCCCTACTATCCCACAATGCTGTATCCCAGCACTTGCCCAGAGAGCTTTCTGTAATAATGGAAATGTACTGTAACTGCACTTAGCCAACTTGGGACTACTAACGATTTGAAATGTTGCCAATATGAATGAAAAACTGAATTTTTAATTTCATTTTATTTGCATAGCCACATGTGGCTGGTAGCTACCATAATGGACAGTGCAGCTCTAGGCTAACTGAATGAACTGCTATTGCCCATTCATATTCTTTCCTGCCTTCCACCCATTCCCTGGGGTGTGTGTGTTTGTGTTTTGGTACTGGGGATTGAACCTAGGGGCACTTGATCACTGAGTTACAGTGATCAAGTGCCCCTGGGTTTTGATTTTTTAGTTTTTACTTATTTATTTTTGTATGTGGTGCTGGGGATTGAACCCAGGGCATTGTGCATGCGAGGCAAGCACCCTACCAACTGAGCCATATCCCAGCCCTTATTTTTTTTATTTTGAGACAGGGTCTTGCCAAGTTGGTTAGGGTCTCACTAAATTTTTGAGGCTGGCTTTGAACTTGCAACACTCCAGTCCCAGCCTCTCAAGATGCTGGGATTACAGGCATGTGCCACCACGCCTGGTACCCAGTCATTTTTGAGACAGTCTTGCTAAGTTCCTGAGACTGGCCTCAAATTTGAGATTCTCCTGCTTCAGCCTCCTGAGTCACTAGGATTACACAAGTGTGCCACTGTGCCCAGCTCATGTGTTTATATCATAACCCCATTTATCAAAGCCACTCTTGGAAGACACATCCTCCAAGAAAATTGTCCTTGATGTCTTCAGGACCAGCGGGACACATCATTTCTACTCTGTACTTTTACACTCAGAGTTGACTCTACTCCTTACTCACGGGGAAATTGCTAAAAGTCAGCAGCATCATATGCACTGATGGCCCCCTCAGGTCCTACAGCACAGCAGGGGCTCAGTATCCATGAGATTAAGGAGTGACTGAACCCCAGACATGTGACACTGGACAGAGGCTCCAGCTACAGTGACGGCTTGCTCATACTAGTTCTCTAGTCCCATCGCTGTCCCTTACCTCTTGGTCACTGCTCCTGCTGCTGTGAAAGATCAAGTCCCTAAACATGGCTGCCAGTTTGGAGAAATAGCCTGGCTGGTGGGGGCAAAGAAAGCCATGATTATGAGCAGGGTTGGAGCAGAAGGTTAGAAAATGTTGGGGTGAGGGGAGGGAAGACAAGGATCACAGAGGAAGGTGGCAAATGAACATGAAGGGAACTTAGAAAACAGGGTGCAGCCAGAAGAGGAGGTGCCAGGTTGCATGAGATGGGTCACAAAATGACAGTCTCCCGCCACAACCCAGGAATTAAGCCCTCTCTGTCTATCCCTTGCCCTCCTCCACCTATGCTCAAATCCTTGGCCAGAACCCCAGGGCCACCCATAAGAACGAGCTTGCTCTGACACCCTGGGCACTGGGATCAGATTTTTACCTCACTGCCCACGGTTCGACGTTCTAAGAGGAGGCGGAAACAGTTGCGGGTTCTCTTGTTGTCCTTGAGCCCTTGACCTAGTCCCCGGTTGTCATCCTGCATTAGCCGACGGTCCAAGATCACCTCCAGCTGGCCTGGGGAAGTTAACAGTGAGTCCACAGACTGCCATCCCCATCCCTAAGCAGACACTGGCCTAAGACAAGAATCCCAGCCCCAGGCCCTAAACCCAGTAAGGCAGCAAGAAGCTGAGTCATTCACAAACTAGGAGGGAGCTGAATGTGGGGCTGGTCCTGTGCTCTTGTTCTACAGATGAAGAAATAACAGGCCGCAAAAGGGACAGGCTGACCCTGGCCGCTCACTCTCTGTGAGTCAGGAGTCGAACCTAGGCTCAGGGGACCCAAGCAGGAAACCCTATTAAGACTGGCCACATGATAAAAACAAACAGAAAACAGAGCAACACCATCTGTAGTGTGGCTGCAGATTCCCTCATTGGGGGCTGGTTTCTCAGACTGGGCAGTTCTGTTGTGACCAAAATCCTGTTCTCCTACCCTTGCTCTACATGAGAACAGCTAGAAGGCCCAGCAGGCCAGACTTGGTCCTAACAGCCTTGTCTGTCAGAAGCTGGGTTGTACAGAGTCTGGGTAGGGCCAGTGCTCCTCATGCAGAGGTAGATCAGACAGGCTCAATGGGGCCTCTAGGCTGTCTTGGGGCAGAGATGGCAGATGACCACCTCAGCTTTTTTTTTTTTTTGGGGGTAGTACTAGGGATTAAACCCAAGGATACTTTATCACTGAGCCAGCCCATTTTTTTTACTTATGTTAAGTCTTGTTAAGTTGCCCAGGCTGGCCTGAAACTTGCCACCCTTCTGCCTCAGACTCCCAAGATGCTGGGATTATAGGCATGCAACACAGAGCAGGCTTCCCCCAGCTCTCCTGAGGGAAGGCCACACCAGCTTCTCACACAGAGATGGCCCTGCTTCCCTTTCACTTCCACAGCCCTGACTCTGACTTCTGTAGTCTTTTTACCATGAGCAATCACAGAAAGTCATCTTGAAACCCTAAAATGAATCCTTTGGATAGAAAACAATCATTTCTTAACACACCAAACCCAGCAGGGCAGAGGGAGATAATCAAGCAAGAACACTGAGCTGTAGTCAGGAATCATGAGGTAGAGCAGGTGGAGCAGCTGGGGCAGAGGGCAATGTAGCCACACTCACTCCTAGGGGAAGAAGGCCCCACCCTTCCACCACGCTCCCACACACAGCCTTGAACCCATATCAATTCAGCCTTCACGAAGGCTCTGTCCCATAGAAGACTTCAAGGGCCTCATCCTAGCCAAATTTAATTTTTCCCTGAGGCTATGGGAGCTCACCCAGCATGATCAGCTGGCCAGCTCTGATTCCACACCAGTGTGCTTCATGCCTTGTTTTTTTTTGTTTTTGTTTTTTTCAATGCTGAGGATGGAACTCAGGGTCCAGCTTTGATTCTTTAAAGTGTCATCTTTTCTTCTATTGACCTTTAGCAGGTCATTAGAACAAGACAAATTTTTCTCCTTTTCTAAATATTTCACTATTAACATCAAGTATGCTTTTTAACTATCCATAATCTCATCTCTGGCCAGAATAAGGGTCACACATCTCATCAGAGTCACCATTTAATAACCTGATGCTTCTTGAGGGGACCTAACAGGACACCTGCCACTCAACGGCCACCCAGCTGCCTCCTCGGAGAGAGGAGAGAGCAATGCCTGCTTTTCTCCTATGGCCAGCTCTTGATGAGTGACAGAAGTGAGGATGGCTCATCCCTCCTGCAAGCACAGAGGTGATGCAGACAAGAAAGACATTGAGAGAGGCCTACAGAGTGGAGACCCTCAAGGGTGTGATGAGCTGCTCCTCCCTGCCTCACACCCTCTGCAGAGCTCCTATTCTCCACTCACCATCCCTGAGGCTGGAGACGCCCAAGGCCTGAGCAGTGTGTAGTGTGAGGCGCTTCTGTGCATCCTGGATGTAGGCCATAACTGGCATGGGGTAGAAGTTAGCCTGCAGGGGCAGCTTCTTTAGATACCTCCGGGGCTGCACCTGTGGGGCCAAGGCCAGCAGGTCAAGGGCATCTAGGGACTCTTTGGGTCTTAAGGCATCCCCAGTCTGAAGGTGTCCCTGATTACTCTCACTTCCAGTTTCTTCTTTTACATCAGGGTAGACCACCCCCCATGTCCTGTGACGGAGGCCAAAAGCACAGTCCAGGTCTACTCTGTGGAGCCCAGGGCTCCAGCCCAGGAATCACCTGAAAGCCATTGAGGTCTGTGAAGAAGGTTCCCTGGCTGTCAATGTCTGTGTGGATGCGCAGGGCCAGCTCCTTGTTGACATAGTCCCGGATGTCCACCAGGGATGACACATCCAGAGACAGCCCCTCCACCCCTGGCACAGGGAAAAAAGGGAAGGCATCAAGAGGAGTGAGGATAGGCCATGGATGAGAGCCTGGGCCAGGAAATCAAAGCTGAGCTAGGGAAAGGCTCTGCCCAACCCCCACCAAGCAATTCCCAGGGCATTTTTGAATGACCTTTTCTCTAAGAGAATTAAACATACCCGTCTCATGTGATACACCTGTTGGGAGCAGATGTGTAAACAAAGGAGGGGCAGGAGGAGCAGCACATGACAGCCCAGGGAACCCACACTTCCTTTCCCACCCTTCCTTGTTCACAGGACTCACCAGGCAGGTTATAAAGCCGGACCACCTGGTGAACATGCTCATAGTAGGCAACCACCTCTGAGTAGAAAGGGCCTTCAGTGACACGCAGCACAGGGGGGTCCTTGGGGGAATAGGGCTGGAGAAAGAGCAGGTGGCCACTGAGCCCACAGTGTGGAAAGAAAAGCAGGAGTTGGCAGCCCAGGGTTGGGCAAGATGTCTCATCTCATCAGGGTCTGGCCTAAACCCCCAGGACTGAGATGCCCAACCCACCAACCTCCTCCAGGCAGCAAAGACAAGTCTTCCTGCAGGAAGTGATCACCCTGAGGGATGCCTGTACCCCTCCTCTGGCCCTCCAAGGCCTGCCGGGTTTTGTGAGACAACTCTCAGGTACCTTGGCCTCTCCGTCAGGCAGGAAGAGGTAAGCTCCACTCTTGTCCTTGGATGTACGAGTGCCATAGATGAGGAATTCCATGTTCATCTGCTGGTCCTGCTCCTCATCCACCCTTCGGATGCTCTGCCAAAAAACACAGCCCTGACCCCTGGCCCCACACCAGCATGTCAGGCCTGCCCCCTGGAGGGCACAGACTAATTTCCCCATGGAGCCAAGCCCAGTGCTACAAGTTTGGATCTTAAGTGTCTCTCAAAGGTCTGTGTATTAAAGGCCTGTTCCCTGTTGTGGGGCTACTGGAGGGAAGCAGAAGCTTCAAGAAGTAGGGTCTAGTGGGAGATTTTAGGTCACTAGAGGAGTGCCCTTGAGGGGGAGAGTGAGTTCACTCACTCAGAGCCATGAGTGAACAGCTCTGCTCTAAGCTCCCCACCTGATGTTGCTGCCTCACCATAGGCCCAAAAAGCAGTGGTTCCACTCCTTTGAACTGTCCTAGAACCACAAGCCAAAGTAAACCTTTTTGCTTTTTTTTTTTTTTTTTTTTTTTTTAGTTTTTCGGCAGACACAACATCTTTGTTGGTATGTGGTGCGGAGGATTGAACCTGGGCCGCACGCATGTCAGGCGAGCGCGCTACCGCTTGAGCCACATCCCCAGCCCAACCTTTTTGCTTTATAAGTTGATTACCTCAGATACTTGTGCGTATTTTTTTTTTCCTTTTTTGTTTTTCATTTTGTGGTGCTGCAGATCAAACCCAGGATCTCGTGCATGCTAGGCAGGTGCTCTAGCACTGAGCTATGTCCCCAGCTATCTCAGGTATTTGTCACAGTAATAGAAGGCTAACATACCTAGCTTCCTCATGTTGTCAGCTTGGAGCAAAGATGGCCCATGCCCAAGTCACTGTCAGGTGGCAGCAGCACTTGGGGTAGGAAAGCAGCTCTGCCCAACCCCACTGGCATGCACACCCTTTCCCACTACCCCTAGCCCTTTACCTTTGGGAGCCCAGTAAGGCCTGAGAACCAGACCTGCATGTAGCGGTTGCTGAGGGCAAAGTCACTGGATCCCGAGTCAATGACATGGAGAGGAAATGCATCATGCCTGCTCACAGAGAGCTGCCGGCCATGCAAGTAGACTCGCACAGAGGAGGGCAGTGTGCGGTGCCCATCCAGGCCCAGCTGTAGCTGCAGCACACCCAGGCCCAGGGCTGGCAGACGGATGGGCACAGATACCTGTGAGCACAGGAAGGGTGAGGAGGCATAGGCCATGGCCAAGGATCAATTCCAGATCCAGGAAGGGGAATTCTGGGGTCCTGGGACATTTGTTTCCTAACAGTCTGAGCAAGCAACTGCCCTGCAGGAGCCCCATCCCCTTCTCTGAAAATACTCCTTCTTGTCAGACTTAATCAGTCTCAAATGATACTTAAAAACTATAAAGTGGAAACCACACATTAAGCCTTCAACAAATATCTGTTGTGCTGTGACACATGTCTGTCATCCCAGCACTTGGGAGACAGAGGCAGGCAGATCACTTGAGCCCAGGAATTCAAGACCAGCCTAGGCAACAGAGCAAGACTCATAAATAAAGAGACAGATACATAGATAAATATTTGCTGAATGAATGGATAAATGAAGAGGCCATTTTTATTATTACCATATCATCCTTCACTTTCCTTTCAAGGACAGAATCAAATCCTAAGAGTGACTAATCCTCTGGACAAGCCTTCTCCCCAAGACACCCATCCCCAGCATGAGAAGTGAGAAGGGCACAGCAGAGAGGCAGGAACTAGATGTCCATGGGAGGGTAAGGCCCTGGCAAGAGGATACTGATTAGCAGAGGGGGCCAAAGCAAGGGCCCACCTGCCAAGCTCCTGCCTTACCTGGTAGACATCAGGGACCATGTCCGTGGCAGATCTCCAGTGTGCACTGATCTGCACAGCCAGGGGCTGACCCTCCTCTGAAAGGACACGCACACGGGGTGAGTTGACCAGCAGGGACACCACACTGAGCCGCTCCTGTTCCAGTGGGTTGAACACCACCACAAACCTGTGGGTAGAGGGTGGGCTGAGCCAAGAGGATGTTGCCACCAGCAGCATGGCAGGAACAGCAGCCAGGACAGTGCCCTGCAGTGGGTCAGCAAGTACAGGGGTGGAAAGGCACTGGAAGCCAGGGAGTAGTTTTGCCCCTCGGCCCCTGGCCTGATCTGGCTCACCTGGGTGAGGAATCCAGCTGGATCACTGTACGCTCTGGCAGGGCATCATGATTTAAGCGGGTGTCATCCTGGAATTAAGTGGATAAACGGAAAAAACATCAAGGGGCTTGGCCTCCTCTCTGCACCAGCCTGTCCTGGATGTGGACCACCCACTGTCCAGGACACAGAAATCTCACCCCCAGACAGGAAAGGAAGAAAGAGTAACACACCCGAAATGACAGTTGTTGGGATGGCACCCCCGCATGCTGGAGGGTCCATTCAGATCCAGGAGGGGGCTCACCATTTGGAGGAAGGGTGCCTCAGGGTCAAAGTGGTAGGTATCCTTGTCCCCTAGCACCAGATAATGAGCTGCATTGATGATAACCTGCTTCAGGCCAACGAGGGAGCGCAGGAGCCTGTGGCAGGTTAGGAGAGGGGACAGGGAGGAGATGACCAAAGGGAGGCAGCCTGCCTGCTGACCACCCTGCACATCCTCTTCTTGGGATGGTGGGTGGGTGGACAGAGTGCAACTGGGTGAGAGGAGACAGCTCATACCTGACACCATAGTCCACCACCACTGCCTCCTTGGCAGTTCCAGTGATGGCGTCATGGTGCTGAAAGAGCCCCAGTGTGCGCCGAGCTTCCGTCAGGAGGGTGAAGTCAGACAGTGGGTACCGGCTGGCTAGTCCAGAGCGGCGGGCGTGGGCCACAGCCAGGCTGTACAGAATCTCTGCCCCCCTAGTCCGAGAGAAGAGTCAGCTGCCTGCCCACTCCACTCTGAGGGGCCATCCACATTCATTCCCTTTCCTTTCCCAACACTTCTCTTAAGCCTTGGCCTCTTGCCAAGCCAACTCTTCTTAAACCCCAAAACCTGACTCTACTCCCCCAGCCTGCAAGGGAGTGGGGTCTCACCGAAGGTGGGCTTCTAGGACTCGGTCCAGACTCTTGTAGAAAGGTCTGGAAGTATAATAGCCTGTCCAGTAATGGTCCTCACGGTCCGCGTAGGAGAAGAAATCCCCGCTTAGCACAGGAAACCCTGGGGGCCGGGCCCCTGGTTCCACGCCTGTCCTCTTGTATAGAGCGTCAAAATAGTCAGAGAGGGTGCCAAACTGGGCCTGTGGGAACCCCAAAAATGAGCTCTCATCAGTTCCAGAGCCTCCTGGAATTCTGGTCACCAGTGCTGCAGCTGTGGAAGTCCACCTCAGCAGAGGGCGTACCTTCTGGGCCTAAAATAAAAGCTGGGGAGCCAGAAGTGAATTTTGACATAAAAGGGGAACCCCTGCTTTGGAATAGCTTCCAGGGATAGTCAGAGGAAAGCCCCCCTCCACACCTGCACGTGGAGTTCAGGCTTGCTGTTAAGGAAGTCAAAGAGCCGCTGGTAGTTGAAGAACTGGGCATCCCATTCCTGGGGCTTGTCATATCGGAAGTCATCGCCCAGTGGCACCAAGAGGACATTGCTTCGGAAGAGCCGGGACTTCTTCCTGTACTGGTCTAGGAGCAGGGCTGCCCTGAAGCAGGAAAGGACACAGGTTCCATATGAAGTCTCAGGGCTAAGAGATCTCCAAGCAGAGACACCTCAAGAGTCAGCCCACTTTGAAACACCATTATGGAGTTGTTGTTCAGCCTGCAGATAGACACTTCCTGAGACAGGAAGCCCAGTCCCAGTGTTCTCTGGACATTTCTGAGAACAGAAGAGTTCTTATCCTAGGCTGCAGTTGATGGCTTCAATTCCCTGATTCCACTTATGCCCTGTGACACAAGACAAATCAGTCCTTCCCCACGATTATCCTTCAGATACATCAAAGATGTGCTCATGCCCCTCGAGCTGTCAACTTGGTTCCTGGAGAACAATTTAGAATCTGCTCACCAGCAGTTCTCTGGCCAGTGACCTGAGTCAGGGCCCAGCACCTCATATGGAGGTCCACAGTGGGCAGACCCACCAGAGGAAGGCAGAACCACCCTCTTCAGCCAGGTCAGGACCCCAGAGAGCAGTGTGCAGAAAACTTCACTATCACCATGCTGACGGTCAGTTTCCATAGTTCCACGTATGTAGGTTTTTTACCTGAACTCACATGTTCTATCTTCTGAAGCTAAAATGGAATCTTACATTTCTGCCTGTTAAACCCTGTCTTTTGGGAATCCCAGTTCTGAAGCTCCAGTGAACAATGCAGCACAGTACTATGGTGAAGAACCCAGACTCTGGAGCCAGATTTTGCTAGCTGAATGACCTTAGGCAAGTAACTTAACCTCTTAGGGCTTCAGTTTCTGGAAAAATGAGGAAAACATCAGAAATATTACTGACACTGATGTCATTAACCCCCATGATGCTATGAGAATTAAAATTAATTGAATGAATTAATATTTAAGCAAGCATTTCAAATAGTGCCTGGCACATGGGAGGAACCATATACAAACATTTGCTTGTGTTTTTTCATCCATAGTATGGTTAATATCAATAGAAAAATAGTGCCCCATAGCATATCATTGGAAAATCCTTCCTGTTTTCAGACCAACCTGTTAAATGACTTGTTATGGATATCACAGTTCTAGCAGTCACTAATCTACTTAACAGGACAAGACCAGCTTGTTCTGTTCTATTTGGTTCTTAAAGAAAGGACTCCTCAAAGACCAACTACCCCTGATTTATCAGCTTAGCAAGCCCTTCAAAGGAGGAAATGTGGTTTTGTCTCCTGGCCTGTTCTCTGTGAACTGGGGTCAGAAACACCGATTGTCACTGCTGCTTTAGGAAAAACCACACCTACTTTAATAGACCTATATTCCTGCCAGCAATCAGCATTTAGATTCCTAGAAACAAAAGACCATTTTCTTTCTCCTTTGATCATAGGCCCCATCTCTTGTACATCATAGAAATCACAGCATTGCAACATAAAAACCAGTTCAACTTGTTATATTCTTGGTTTTTTGTTTTTTTTTTGTGATGCTGAGACTCCAACCCAGGCCCTCACAAATGCTACCACTAAGCTACTCCCACAATCTTCAAATTTTTATATTCTGTTTTGTTTTGTTTTTTAGTGGAATCCAGGGGCACTTTACCACTGAGCTATATCCCCCACCCTTTTTGAGACAAGGGTCTTGCTCAATTGCCCAGGCTGGCCTTGAACTTCAGTCTTTCTGCATCAGTTTCTTGAGTCACTGGGATTACCGGCATGTACAACCACGCCCAGCTATGGCTCATTATCTTCTTAAGGTTTTAACTGAATTGCTTTTTAGATCATGTTTAATCAACACTTTCTTAGTGGATTTCAGCCACTTTCCTAGTGCTGATTTCAGCCACAGTGACATCTTTGAGAGTCCGCAATTCTTTTCTCACAGGGACAAGTCTGTTTCCTCAGGGGGACTAAATACAGATCTGAATGGAATTCAGGTCCACTGAACACAGATCTTGGCTGACTTTGAGCCAAGTAAGAATATCTGAGCCAAATGAAGGCACATTTGCCTCAAGTTTGTAAGAAATTGTACCAATTTAATAATCATTCATCTGAGGCAGTCAACTGGCTCTGACAGCTTGCTGGGACACCAGAAAACATACTCCTTGGGCAAAATAAAAGTGTTCTGTAAAAGGCAGTTCCTTAGCACATTCTAGTTTTCTAGGAAGACTTCACAGCCACCACTGCAAATGCTGCAGGCCTGAACCCACTCTGAGCCCATACTCCATTTTCCAGACACCACCTGCACCATGCAGTCCCCGGACTCAGCAGAGCATGGCCAGGTCTCCTGACTCCTCTAAGGAGCAAAAATGCCAACTCCATGCCCAGGCCAGAGCTGGAAACAGATACCTTTCTGCCACATTGGCCTCTGTGATGGCCCGGGGTGGCACTTTCCAAGGGCAGTTGATGCGTCCACCGGGCAGGCGTTTGAAATCAAACTGGCAGCAGATCTTGGGATCTGGGCCACAGGTATGAGGGACATCATAGCTGTAGAAGGGCATCATGTGGCAAAAGATGTCTGTGCTGGAATCCGAGTCTGCAGAAGACACATCACGTGGTCAACCAGTGGCAAACAGCCTCAGGAACTGGGCATAGGGACTCCAGGAAGGCGTGGATCTGCATAAGCTAAAGGTCGCCTGATAGGAGGGTCCAACTGGATTTGGGCTGTACACGACATACAGGATAGGGGACAGGACATGCAGGGCTCCATGGCCCACAGGTCCTTTAGGGGAAGTCCTTGCACAGACAGCAGCCCTATAGAAGCCACAGGTCAATGTGACTCTCCCCTAGCCTGAAGGAGAGAGAGCTTCTGCCAGTCTTCCCTGAGAAGTGGAGTCTTATTTCTGACATCCCTGATCTTCCCCCCAGGGAAGTCTATGCTGCTTGGACCCCCTCTACCCTACCTGGCCTTACCCCAAGTCTGCCTCCACATGAACTCCAAGCTGTGGGTGGCAGCAAAGTGCTTCTTAATGGCATAATGTACCCTCTGGATCAACATGCTGGTCAGGTTGGCACGGCGCAGCAGGTAAGGCATGGTGGAGCTGTGTCCAAATGGGTCCACTGCCCAGCCAGAGCGTGGGGTTGCACCTAGGCAGGGTATGTAACCAGAGGTCCTGAACACCTCGGGGCCTGGCCTCTGGCCTCCCAGGTCCTAAGATCTCAGCTCTTGCCTTGCAGGGAGTGGAAAGATGCCATATGGACAGGCCCATGTTAACCTTGAGAAGATCTACCCCCTGACAATCCCTGTGCCTTACAGGATCATGTCACAGCACTCTGGGCCAAGCTATGGGGCCAGAATCCCACTTCTGGGCCTGGACTTACCAAGGTTTCTCTCCAGCCACTGGTGTCCCTCAATGAGCTGGTCAATCAATGCAAAGTAGTGGGAGTTGGCCTCATCTGGCATCACCCAGCCTCCTGTTGCAATCTCTAGCTGCCCATTTCCCACCAGCCTGAAGGTAAAGATGCATACTTAGCATGGGGTGGGGATGCTTACCCAGTCCTGCCAACCATAAGATGATGCCAGTGCCTGCATGTTCTGGCCCCTAGGCTGGTTCACTCAAATCCAAGATTAAGAGAACACACACTTGCCCTCCTTTCCCTCCAGCCCCACCCCATGTTGTCCTGGCCCTGCTTATCTTGGGACTTTTGAGTTCCCAGGGGGAAGGCCCCATGTTTCTTCTTCACTTATACTCAGACAACTCTGATATCTAACACTAGTGGCCCTCAAACCGTTGTTCCTCATTTCTGCCCCAGCTCCCTGTGCCTCTTCTTGCCACCTCAGCACCCACAGTATGAGACAAGACCTAGCCATTCAGCTCAGGCCCTCCAACGCCTCCCTAACTGCTACTGGCCTTCGGACTGCTGCTCTCTTTTGGGCATTGATGTTGTCCCACCACTTGGCAAAGAAGGAGACTTCTGCCCAGAGGAAGCGCCGCCGGGAGTCCTCCTGTAGCTTGGATACCATGCTGTTGAGGATGTGTTGGGTCTGCTCCGTGTAGTACTTGTCAAAGGTCTTGATCCAGCCTGGGGAGCCAACAGAGTCTCCTGAGGATACCACCTTCTTCAATGATGCCATCTGCCCCTTCCTTACGTTTGCCATGAGAAAGCCCACTCCACACCCCCTCTTCTATGCCTGCTAGACCTTCACCTGGGTCATTGTGTGAGTGGGGCACCACAAACACCTGCAGGTCTTCAGTATCCCAGTCATGTGGGCTGTAGGAGATGTCAAAGCCTTGCCTCCAAACGCCGCCCTCCACATTGTCAAATGGCAACTCTTCTGACACAGTTAGCATCTGCCAGGCAGGAAGGCAGTTCAGTGTCCCATCTGTGGTACTGCAAGTCCCTGCCAGCTCTGATTCTTACCTGTAGCTCTGGCTTCTGGCCCCGGTCCTCCAAAGCAAACTGGCAATCCTGGGGGGAGATGGAGAAGAAGCTGGGCCGGGGCTCCGGGGGCACCACCCAGGATCCATTGGCTGTGTGGTAGGGCAGCAGAGCGGGTGGGCCTTCTGCATTGGCTGTCAGTTCCAGCACAGAGTCCTTGATGTGGCTGATAATTTCATGGTTCTCCTCCAACAGCTGCTCCAGCTGCTCAATGCGATTCTGCAGCACAGAAATTTGGCTCTGCCAGAAAAGCAAAAAACAATCACCCACAGCTCCTTATCCATAGGGAAGGTCTCTGCTTAGTGTCTACCACCTGAGGCCTGACTATGAGTCCACTCTCCTCAATCAAAGCTAGACTACAAGCCTATATGGATGGAAAGTTCTGGGCACATCTCTACTAAGGACTATGATCCACTTGGGTTAGAAGTTCTGTCACTTTCTAGCTCACAGATGGTAAAGGTTTCCTCTCACATGCCTATGCTCAATGATTAGTATTGCTTTTTGGAGCATGGAGCTGAGGATTGCACTGGGACTTAATGGGAAAAAATGCTGCAATCAATCAGCAACGTCTGCCAAGAATTCAGGAGGATACTTCATTTTTTTTTCTACGTTCTTTTTGTCATCACTATTTTTTGCTTCCTGTTGGGGCTGGGGTGTAGCTAAGTGATAAGTGTGCGTGTTTAGCAAGCACAAGGCCTTAGGTTCAATCTCCAGCATAAAACAAAAACGAAAACAAAACAAAAACCTGCCTATTGAAAAGTAATGTTCCTGTCCTGGGCTGACATAACTCTCCAGTCCAGGTGACAACCTGAACTCAGGTGACTTGTATATGAAGAGATTAGCAACCAGGCTTACTCACCCGTGGGAAGTTCCCACCATTCTGGTGTCGGGTGGGATCATGCTGTACTCTGTCCAGCATAAGGTACAGCGAAAAGACTGCCACGCAGAAGATAGCAGCCCCACACACTGTCACCTGCTTTTTCAGCTTCATACTGGCCTCCACACACCCCTAGCAGGAGAGACACCATCTGTAGCTCTGGTATGTAAAATCCCTTTGGTATCTTCCCACCAAATAGTTCCCAAGGGCTGTTCCCAAGGAACACCTATTTACCTGGCTCCAGTAAAAAGCAAACTCCTAAGCACAAGATCCCAACATTAGTTAAGAATCCTGACCCAATCCTGATTTTATTCTCTTGCTTCAGATTCCAAAAGCACAAGCAGCACATCTGGGACTGGTCCTGTCTGGTCCTGGAAACAGCTCTACCCCTAAGGTAGGATGATGCCCCCTCTCAGCCGATGATGTAAAACAGGTTCAAGAAAACAGAGTCCCACCTCTAGCCCCACATTTCACTACACAAACTCCTAATTGCAATCAGCTTTCCCCTGGGGCCTACCCAGGTGGTGCCTGTACAGGTTCCTTGGCCTTGTGCTTCTCCTTTTTAAGGAGTAAACTGGTCTCTGATTTAAAGGTATAGCCAGAGGCCAAGAGGCAGAAAAGCCTTTCCACCAATCCTCTTGGATCAGACTGACACTTAGCAAAAACAGTCTTTCGCACAGATCCTCAGTAAAAATAGTGAATGAATTCTTTTATAGAAAAGAAGATGCTTCCGTTTCCAACATAAAGCTAGTCCTACCTGTTCTCCTTTCCGTTAGTACCAATTCCTGTAGTGCAAAACTTTCAGTCCTGGCTTATAGAAGCTGTACGGGATCCCTGGGAAGCCAGCAAGATGCTGAAAGTCCCCTGGGTAGGGAGAAGCATAGCAGCTAGGCTGTGGGACAACTTCTGAGGACCTGACCAGCTGCCACCGCGGCTGGCCCCTACTTGCCTGGCCGGCGGAGGGAGAGCTCTAGGTGCCGACTCGGGCGTGGGCGGGACCACGCTCCTGAGACTGCTCCGGGCGCCCTGGGGCCAAGGAGCTCTGTTGCCTCTGCGTTGTGCCCTACTTAGCGCGATCTGATTCCTCTCAGGAGCCTCTGGGCAATTATTTTTAGCCCCTGGAGCCAAGGTCCAGGCCAAAGTGGGTGGAGCTGGAGGAAGAGAGTTGGATCACAGGAGGGCTAGCACCTGCCGCCGGGTCTTCTTCAGCGCGCCCAGCCCCCTCCCGGGCCTCCCGGACTCTGCCCGCGCAGGATACCGGAACGTCAGCTGCTTGGGCCAGGCCTTCCGCCCGGACCGACCTCTCAGCGCAGCGCGGGTAGCGCTCTAGTCGCCCAAGCCCGGCTAAGGCCGAATCAGTTGGAACCCTCCCCCGCATCCGCTCGGCCCATTACCGTCTGCAGCCGGCCTCCGCGGCGCTCGGGACCCAGCCGGCCAAGCCGCGATCCCTCACATCCCTGGGGAAGGCGATCCCGCTCAGGCAGCGACGCAGGCGAAAGGCGGACTCCCGCCCACCGGTCGCCCACGGTTTCAAGCGCCGCAGCCGCGCTCCCGTGGGGGCCAAGGCCGCCAGCGCGCTCCGCTGCGCCCGCGCCGGTCCGCCAGCCACAAGCGGCCACCCCGCCGAGCAGCGTGCGGGGCGGGGACACAAGCGCCGCGTCCCCGCGTGCCCCGCCCCGCCTGGCCCTACCGCCTCCTTAGTGAGCCCCGCAGCCCCCGCCCTGCTCCCGCGGCGCTGCTTGTCCGGCTTAGGCCCGGCTGCCCGAGCTGCCGGCGCCAAGAACCCAGGTGCCGGCGCCGGGGCCGCACTGCGCAGCCGCAGCCCGAGACCGGCCTTAGCGCGCTGCGGAACCTGAGCTGGGGCGCGCAACTTTGTTTTTATATGAATCTTACTAGAGTAAGCACATTTCATCAAACAGTTGCAGAAACATTCCAGCTCCTTTTCACCAGCCAGTAGTGGAGTGCGTTTTCCTCAGTCTGCCTTGTTCAGCTCTAGATAGTCTGTTTTCTGTAGTTACCTTCGCAGGCAAAGGGGTGCTGCCTCCTGTAGGTATAAATTAATGGAAATTCCTTTCCGTGCCACCCAGTAAGACACTCCCCCCACCTTTTATCTCTCTCCCCATTTTTGTACTGGAAATTGAACCCAGGGGCACTTTACTACTGGTCTACATCTTAAGCCCCTTTACACATTTTAAAATTTTTGAGGAGGGTGTGTGTGTGTGTGTGTGTGTGTGTGTGTGTGTGTGTGTGATGAGGGCACATCTCACTAAAATGCCCTGGCTGACCTTGAATTTGAGATTCTCCCGCCTTAGCTTCCCAAGTAGCTAGGATTAGAGGCATATGCCACCACGCCTGTCTCAAATCCTTTCTATTTATTTGAAGCAACATAAAGCAACAGTGACCAACACTCTGATTCAGCAGGATCATCAGGCTCACTTGGAAGACCATAGTCAGGCTCTCCATTTTAGAATTATTCCAGATGCCACTGGGTATGGACATTAGCATCACCTGGCTTTCCCTCTAAATTCAGAAACTAGTCCACCTTTTCTAGTTCATTAAGCCAAGTGTGGCAAGAAATGTTGGCAACCACATAGATGCCGCCCTGAATGACCAGCATGATGCCCAGGGCAAGATGGCTGTCTACCACCTTTCATGCTATAGAGTATACTCTTACTCTAGTTTGTGTTTGACAGGGTAGTGAGAGAAGCACCTGGTTAGAATTTCCAACCCCCCCCCCCCCGCCCCCAGCTCTCCTTTGCCTACATAGGTTCCAGTAGCCTAATTTGCTAAAGGCAGGCATGAGAGGGAAAATGGAAAAGTGAGAAATATGTGATTTGGGTCTCTTACAACCAATTGGGGTCTCTTCTCCCCATCCCAGCCTTTAAACTGAACATTTTATTTAATAAGAACTACCCATCCTGGAAATTGCCACAGTGAGAATAGACATTGCCTGGCTGGGTGTGGTGGCCCATCCTGTAATCCTAGCAACTCTGGGGAATGAGGCAGGAGGATCACAATTTCTAGGCCAGCCTGGGCAATTTAGTGAGACCTTGTGTTCATGTTTAAATTTGTGTGTGTGTGTGTGTGTGTGTGTGTGTGTGTGTGTTCGTTCCAGGGATTGAACCCAGGGGTGCTAAACCTCTGAGCTACATCTCCAACCTTTTTATTTTTTATTTTGAGATAGGATTTCACTAAGTTGTTTAGGGCCTCTCTTAGTTGCTGAGGCTGGCCTTGAACTTGTGATCCTCCTGTCTCAACCCCACCACCCGCTGCCCCATGCTGCTGGGATTACAAGCATGTGCCAGCACCCTCAGCTTGAAATTTTTATAAAAGGGCTGGGTTCAGTGGTTCAATCCCCAGCATAGGGTGGGGAGGAACAAGAAAAAAAAAAAAAAAAGAATACAAACTGCCTACTACTTTATGTGTGTGTGTGTGTGTGTGTGTGTGTGTGTGTGTGTGTGTGTGTGCTCCCTTGGGAGTTGAGCTTTAGTTGTCCTTTTATCTTTTTTAGTTGATCTCTTAAGAAATTCAATCTATGTTTTATCTGGGTGCAGTAGTGCACACCTGTAATCCCAGCAATTTAGGAGGCTGAGGTGAGTGAAATACAAGTTCAAGGCCAGTCTGGGAAATTTAGTAAGAGCCCCATCTTAAAACAGAAAGTAAAAAAGGGCTGGAGATTTACTCAATGGTAGAATGTTGGTGGGATTGATGCCCAGTACCCACCCCCAATCCATTTTGTGTTTTGTTGATGCTGCTACCTGTCAGTGACACAGGGCATAAAATGTCCATCAATGTTCCAAGTGGTTCCCCACTGCTGGGTACTCTTGGTTATAAAGGCAAGCAGCTTCCTTGCCTAATTGGATGTGTCTGAAGAATTCAAATATGTGACATTGTCCACTTAGGACTCCAAACAATATGGCCTACATCCACAGTGCATAATGGGAATTACTGTGCCATACCTGGAAACCTATATATTGCAATCAACTTCTAGTGGTACCCTCAAGGTGGAATTGGTGGCCCATCTAGTCTATTTGTCAGGGCCAGCGAAGTAACCAGACTACGGGCTCTGGAGTTCTCTTTGCCACTCAACTATATAGAGTATCTAGGCACATTAGCAGGACTTCTTTGGCTTCACATTCTGGGATCACAAGTGCTTATTCTGGCCCTAGACATAGACAAAATATCATATCCTATGTGATAGTGGCTGTGGCTTCTACTTGAGAGATCTGGCCAGCTGGTTGCTTCCATTGACATTCATGACAAAGGGTCCTTTTCCATGGGCATCTCTCTTGGACGTGTGTCCCACTCAATCTATTGCCAGAGTCTCTCCAACCTTTATAGGATTTGGGACTTAACCAGTTATACTGCTTCCAGGCTAGCCCATTGGCTATTGCTCATGAGTCAGAAAAACCATAGGGAGGTTCACCGTGAGAGGTGTTTTCTCATACCAAGCACCACAGCCTAAATCTCTGCTATTGGGTAGAATTCCCTTTTCCATGCAAATTTTTAAACTGTTATTTCTGTGGCTGCACAGCAGCAGCTATTTTGTACATTAACTGGGCTGTCAGTTCTTAAGTCATGTCCAGGTTCTCAGGAGACTCAATGTACTTCGGACCCAAGAAACCCAAGATACTGGCAGTCTTTGGTCTTTGTCTCAGGGTTAGCCACACCTTTGCCTTTTTTTTTTTTTTTTTTCTAACTCAGGAGCACTCCACCACTGGTCACATCTCCAGCCCTATTTTGTATTTTATTTAGATAGGATCTCACTGAGTTGCTTGGTGCCTCACAGTAACTGAGGCTGGCTTTGAACTCATGATTCTCCTGTTTCAGCTTTCCAAGATGCTGGGATTATAGGCCTGTGCCACTGTGCATGGCCTGGCCTGGCCTCTTTTTATGGAGGAAAGAGATTCCACAGATGCCTGGTTCATTCTTTTCTTGGAACACTTCCTCTTTAGTGAATAATGCTTGGTAAGCAATCTGGCATTGTGGCACACTCTTGGGAGGCTGAGGCAGGATGATCCAAGGTTGAGGCCAGCCTGGGCAATTTAGCAAGACCCTGTCTCAAAATAAATAAATTAATTAAAAGGGCTGGTTTATCAGACAAGTGCCATGTGTCCTAAAACCCACAGATGCCTTTGCCTCCAGATGATGTCCTTCTTCCACGGGTTCTAGTCTGTGTAGTTGTCAGTCATTGACACTTTTCATCCAAAAGCCTGATGTTCAGGGCCCCACTCATAGGTGGTACCTTTTGGGTAACCTTGTGTAGTGGGCTGAAAACATCCTGTTGATAAACCGTCTCTCATGCTCAGACATGCCCATCGGATGTTTTACCTCCTTTGGTTTGCTGGAAGTTTTAAGGCCAGTTGTTTTGTTCTTTTTCTTTTTTTTCTTGGGAATTGTCCTCTGGGTATGGGTCCACATCGTGCCCAAGAACTTTCATGTCTGGCCTCTGTATCAGGTTAATTTTTCAGCTTTGGTCAGCCCATCCAATCTAAGGAAGTTTGTACAAGTTAATTCTCTAACTGTATGATGTTATCAACATAGTCATACTAATGTACTTCTGATGGGATCTCATATACTTCTCTATGTCTGGCCAGCTGGCCTATCAGTTGGTGGTAAATCATAGGGGAATGCAGGTACCTCTGTGGCAATACTATAAAGATGCATTGTCGGGCTAGGGTTGTGGGAGAGTGCCTGGCACCTGCAAGGCAATGGGTTTGATTCTCAGCACCACATAAAAATAAACGAAGCATACAATTTGATGTTTTTTTTTTTTTTTAAAAAAGATGTGGGCTGGAGTTGTGGTCCAGTGGGAGAGTGCTCACCTAGCACATATGAGGCACTGGATTCGATCCTCAGCACCACATAAAAATGAGAAAATATATTGTGTGTCCACCTACAACTAAAAGAATATTTAAAAAAAAATAACTTATTAAAAAAAAGATTCATTGTAACTCAAGCCAATGGTAAAGTAGTTTTCATCTTCCACATGCAGTGGAATGATCAAAAAGGCATTAATAGGAGCTGGGATTGTGGCTCAGTGGTAAAGCACTTGCTGGGCATGTGTGAGGCCCTGGATTCAATTCCAAGCACCACATATAAATAAATAAATAAATACAATAAAGGTCCATTAACAACTAAAAAAATATTTAAAAAAAAAAAAGGTATTAGTAGCCTGTAATCCCAGTGACTCACATGTCTGAGGCAAGAGGATTGCAAGTTCAAGGTCAGCCTCAACAGTTCAGTGAGACTGTCTTAAAATAAAAAATTAAAAGGGCTGTGGTAAAGACACTCTGGGTTCAATTTCCAGTACAGAAAAACAAAACAAAAATTGACATGAGTACTCTGCATACTAGGTGACTTTGGTCTGTACAATGAGCTCTGTGATATGAAATACTCCATAAGATGCCAAAGTCAGGGGCCTTTTGTACTGGCCACTCAGGCTCTCTCCACCCACTGTTCTGTATTGCTTTGCAGTAGCCACTTGGCTAGGTCTAGATGGTGAGCATTTGTCCCTGTCTAAATCCCACTCCAAGGACCTGGTCCTCCAACTTAGCCTGTTTGAGCAGTGGGGAAGGGATAGTGCTGAGAGTGGTGGGTCAAACAGTAGTCCCAACAGCACAAACCTCAGCTTGATGTCCCTCCTGTCAGTCCACAGGAAATGTTAAAGCTGGTCCAGTAAATAGCCCAAATCTTTAAGTCCCATAACCCTCCCAGAGCTCTGTGAGAAATAGAATATTCCTTCATAGGTAGAATCATCACTTGCCTCTTCAGGGACC